ATATAAACCAAAAGATATTTCAAGAAACACCCGTCTCTATCATCATCAGAATTTGTTATCGACTCCAGTATTGCAAACACCTTTTCCCCATTTGAAAGCTTGAACTTGTTGAGAATTATAAGCGTCAGTCTAGAAACGAAAAGCAGCGGGCATAGCTGATAATTTGTTTTCTACGTGATTTACCCTGAGGCTTCAATTGCGTTAGAAAAAGTAAAAACTTTGCCCTTTATCTTTCTCATAAGAATCTTAAGCTATTCAATTACCTGCAAATCTCTTGCATTATTCAAAATTTAGAACTCTGATGAAATCTGTTGATTTTGATAAGTTTTGATTATAATACGAAAGTTAACATACTAATTTTTTACGTTTTTTAAATAAAACTTTAATATATTTTCGAATTCCCTTCGATATGGTTCGTCAGGTTTCAAGTTTTAGCCAAAATAAAGGTAGGGGGGGACTTGATATTAGCTTTCATTTTAAATCAAACTCGACTCGTCTTGCTATCAGCTCCGTTATTCCCAAGTATTTGGGCATAATAAAATAATAATCCATGAACACATTTTTCAGCTCCGCTTCAAAGTAGCTTAATTAAAAATAGTTTTTATTAACTTTTCCCTCCCAGCTATGTTTTGTGCTAATCTTTTATCTTTGAATTGTATTTGAAAGTTTGTAAGAGAAACCCTCTTCAAGACCGTTATGATTATTATTATTATAACTACTATTTGATAATTGCCAAAAATAAAATTCTGTAAGCATGATGTTTCTTCTAGGCCATTTCCGCAACATTGTTGCCAGTTCAAATGTGGCAATAAATAGCTGCAACAACAACAACAACAACAGCAGCAGCAATAAAAAACAATAACGAAACAGAAATGCAAAGAAAAATAATTAAAGTATTTCACGTCTGTGTCTAAAGAAATAATCGCCAACTCAGGCTTAAGACCAAGCAGAGCGGCTTGAGGCTTGTGGCAAGTGGCAAGCAGCAATGGCGGGTGGTTTGCTACGGTGGGCGGTGGGTTAGGGGAGGGGGAGGGGGAGGGATAGGAGGAGGCAAAAGGCGTGCGCAACACCGAAACAAAATACGATTTAATGCGCTTTTCGAATTCTACTGCGCCGCGCTCTGATCACATCAGTAAACATGGATATGGATAGCTGCCCGTTCATTTATCAAGCCCCGGGGCATACTCCAGCCGTATAATATGAGTATGAGCCAAGGTATGATATGGTTATGGCAGTAAATATTATAGTTACCTATATGGTAGACTACAGGGTACTGTATAAGATATACCCTATCATGATATGATGGTATATGATATGATATGATATGATGTGGTATGTATGATATGTATGATATGTATGATATGTATGATATGTATGATATGTATGATATGTATGATATGTATGATATGTTTGATATGATATGTATGATATGTATGATATGTATGATATATATGACATGTATGATATGTATGATATGTATGATATGTATGATATGTATGATATGTATGATATGTATGATATGTATGATATGTATGATATGTATGATATGTATGATATGTATGATATGTATGATATGTATGATATGTATGATATGTATGATATGACATGTATGACATGTATGACATGTATGACATGTATGATATGTATGATATGTATGATATGTATGTACGTATGATATGTATGATATGATGGTATATGATATGATATGGTATGGTATGAGATGGTTTATAACAATATTTGGCATAGTATGGAATGACATATAGTACAGTATTCTTTGAGTATACTTAAATGGGTTGGTTAGGTATGTTATGGAACAATATATGGTATATAGTATGTTACAATGGCTTGTCATATACTATATAATAGATGATGACAGTAGAGTTTAGCATGTTACAGTTACAAATAGTAAACTTTGCTAAAGATATAGAATTTTGATAATATAAGATAGATAATATATGCATAGATCTGTATGATATGATATGGTATATATATTGTGGCCTCCATTTACAAAACATTTGAGGTGCGACTGATTAAAATTTTCGATTATTGTTCAAAGTCCTTAATTATGAATTACAAATTACAAATTAAATCTGTTTCTCTCTCTCTCTCTCTCACTGCACGGTGTAATTATCGCAGTCAGTGGCCTAATCAGCCGCCGTTGAGAGTTGTATAACTTAATGGCTTGCACATGGGCTAATTGGTTGTACGAAACTCTCCCTGCCATACATTTGATCAAATGTAAAAACAATTTGGATCATTTTAATTGAATTACACCAATTTGAAAAACTTTCATATTTCAATACCATAAGAAGATCAATAAGTGCAAATATGAAAAACCTAGGCACATTTTCAATTGAAAACTTCTGAGAGAGCACTATGAACATAAAGAACTAATTTAATTAAAATGTTTATTTTGTATCACACAACGCTATCCTTTGAGATATAATTTTTGATTCTAAATTTAATATTTAATATTAATTACACTTACTCAAGATATTTGCTTTATCCATGTAGTTGGGCATAAACAATGTGTTGTAGCGCGAAAACATAACACAACACACACACTCACAGGCACACGCACGCACACACACGCACAAATGTGTAGGCTACACCCACACACACTGTCTGCACTATCTTTGACGATATCGAAAACGCTCGATGAAAAAAAATTGAATAAAAAAATAATGACAACAATAGCGTATAGTACCAGAAATGCACGCCTAACTAACACAATTGATGCAACATTTTGAAGCAACGGTTAATTTGTGTTAACTGTTTGTTGCTGCTGCCAGCGAGAATCGCAGATCAAATGTGGCGCGCGCGGCACGTGCTATGCGAACAATGGTCGACGCTTGTTTAACTCTCGTTTCTTTCGGTCTGCGGTCTGCCAGTCTCCGATTTCGACTTCGACTGCGACTTCGATTCCGATTCCGACACCGACTCCGACTTTGGCCACCGGTCGCCAAAGAAATGTAAAAGCCGCAGTCGCCGCTGCGCAGCGCTTCTGCTCAAAAGCGCAAGCGCAAGCGCAGAAGCGGCAGGCGTGAAAGCTCCGAAGCTTTTGCTTGTTTGTTTACGTTCAGTTATGATTGTTGTTGTTGTTGCTGCTGCTGCGGTGGCTACTTTCTGTGTGTGTGCGTGTGTGTGTGTGTGTGTATTTAAGAGGCGTCGATGCGCTTTTTGCACACTGGCTGGGCTTTTTCTTGCTGCTGCTCGCTCTCTTTTTTTACGTTTTTTGAATTTTTGTTCATCTTATCTTAAAGTTGCCTACCCTGTACCCATAAAATTGGGTAAAGGGGTATGCAACAGGTATGCAAATTGAAGGTTCACTCAGAGAAAGGCGATATTCTAACTTTCAGAATGATTGAAATGAAATTTCATTTGACTTTCGTTGACAATTTCCAATGTTTGCTTTCATCATTAATAATAGGGCAAAAATACCAAATAAAGCAAACGGCTTGGATTAAGTACAAAATTTGTACAATAAAAATTAGATATTTTATACATATTTTCATAAACTGTTTGTCGCGACTGACTGAATAATTGGTGTTCAATTTCATTCGCAAATGTGGAAAATGGGTGGAAGAGGTTTACATGAAACATTTTACTGTGTTTGAATGTACAGGCTCTTTGAATGTAACAGGCTTAAGAAAACTAAAGGGTATGAGCTAGTCGAGCACTTGCGAGTGGAGCACTCTTGTTAAGTTAACTTTATTCAATCGAGTTTATGTTTTTGAATGCTTTTTATGGCCGCAGCCCGCGTCATGCGCTTCTAGGCAGCTGGGCAGCTGGGCAGCTGCCTTTGTTCGACTCGCTGTCTAACGGAAATAACGCTGCTTCTGCTACTCAGTTGTAAGATACATACCGTTTATAAAGTAATAAATAAAGATACATACATACATACATATTTTGAATATATGTATGTACATAGATGGGCGCTCAGCTGCCCCCTCTTCGCCTGGTTTTAGCTAATTATGCATTATTATTTACCTTGAACTGAGTTTAATTCAATTTGGTTCAGTTTGGTTCGGTTCGGTTCGGTTCAAGCCAAGTTTGTTGCTCTTTCAATTCGAGACTCATTCAAATGCAATCTTATCTAATTTCTCAATTAATTGGCAATGCAATTGAAAACTGTTTTGAAAACACTTCATTAGCAACAACATTATTAATGATTATGATGATGATGATGATGATGACGATAAAGATAATTATGATGAAACTCATAATTGAACGATTTGCAAAGGTGTTCGATATCGCCAACTTTGCGGCAAGTTCATTGAAAGCGTGAAGCGCCAAAGTGGTGAATGGGTTGGTATTTCCCATATTTATCAGGGTTCCAATAATTATTAAATTTAGTGTATTATAAAACAAATCGGCTGTCATAAAACCGAACCAAAACTATTTTTAAACATTGGCTAACAAAATTTCGATAGAGACCTCAGCCTCAAAACCCTTTGCACCCAAGCCGTAGCATTTATCTAACCACGTTTGGAAGATGTCAATTTTGGGCAGAGGTCGACTCTAGCACGTAACTTCACTATGAATATATTTACGATAAGCAATATTCTCACTAGAACGTGCCATTATGAATTAGATTTAATTGCTTCATTAAAGTATTGGAAAATATGGCAAACCAAGGTTTGAACCAAGAAATTGAGTGAAACCAAACCTAAGCCAGGGAGTCGGACTGCAGCTGATCATAACAAATCGGTTACATACATATATAGCGTATGGCCTGCTACACGAACAGTTAGTCGGAAATAAAGCATTTAAATAAAGGTACTTATAAACCATATTTCTAGAATGTCCGACGAAGTCGGACAATATCATAGTTTTTGTATAAGAGCTATATCTTAAAATAAGAATGTATATAAGGAAATATGCTTCTATTATATGTGTGTACGTACTTGGGTGCTATATAGAAGCTGATTCTAGTTATGCTTTGTGTATATATATATGTATATATGTATGTATGTATGTATAAGTCTTATGGACAGTACCTGATGGCAGCGGCTGCTGCGGCAACCGGCTGCTGTTGGGCCGTGAAAAATTTGGAGGTGCCGCCGAAGCGCTGTTGATGATGGTGCGGATGCTGATGCAGGAGCTGGCCATTAAAGTCGAGCTCAGGATCGATGGGGCCGTAGTTGGTGCGATTGCAGCTGAGGCGACTCGCATGGGAGCCGCGCTCCGAGTTGCATTTGGAGCCGCAGAGCGAGTTGTCGCAGAAGCGGCAGCATTTGTTGTAGCTGAACGTGGAGGTGCAGAGCGTGCAGAATGAGTCCAGTTGCGATTCGGCGTGATCTTCGTCATCGAGGTCTCCATCCATGTCTGCGTCCGCCTCCCCCTCCGCCACCCCCTCTGCCTCCGCATATGTATCCATGTGCAGCTTGTGGCAGCGCAGCTTGAGCGTGCGTGCGTTGCTGCTCTGATCCTCATCCGAGCAGAAATTGTATCTATCGCTCTCCGTATCCTCGGCCAGGCTGCTGCCCGCGCTGTCCTCCGCCCGAGGCGGCGACATGCCGAAGCTGCTTAGCGGGCAGGAGGGGTAGCGCGTTAGCGGAAACTGGCGTACATTGTATTTGCTGGTCATCGATAGGTTCTCGTTGAAATATATCACATTCGAGGCGCCGTTCGGTTCCAGCTCCAGCTCCAGCTCCCGCTCCCTGTCCCTCGCCCTGTTAATGCTCAGATCATGATATTTACGCAAAAAGGCCGCATTACAATCGGCCGCAGTATATTCATGCAACTTTTTCGGCTTTGGCATTGGGTGAAGCGGAGAATATTGCTGCTGCTGCTGCTGCTGCTGATGATGATGATGCGGCATGAGGATCTGCATCTGTGGCACGCCATTGTTGTTGTTACCGGTGGCATTGTTGTTGTTGTTGTTGTTGTTGTTGTCGCCGACGGATATGCCGCCAGACCGCAATAGATCAAACAAGCGCTGCTTGAGATCACGCATTGCGTCTGCATGAGCGCGTTGCCAACTTGTTGAGCGTCTGGAATAATCAAAACATAATATATTATTAAATAAATAATTTTATTAAATTTGCAACCACACACACTCTTTTGGCGCCCAACTTTCGACAAATCGATAGCGTTTCTGACGCACTCATAGCAAGCAGCTTGTGCACATGTCAGAGCTTGAATACAAACAGGTGTGTCCAGGTTGTTAAAACAACGTTAATATACCACAAATATGTTTTTTATGTCAATATATATTACTAAAGTAGACCGAAATAACATAAAAAAAAATATTTTAACAATTAGATACAGAAAAAATTTTGGTGGTGACATTGTTCGACAGCAACAGTGCCTAATGCGCTGGCGCACATAGCAGCCAGCTTTTAGTTGTGGCCACGCACATGTTGTCTATCTGGCTGATTTGACCAAATTGAGTAAGCACTTATTGTTATCGATAACTTTCTGTCTGCACCAGCCCAGTACCAAAACATTTTGTCAAATTAATAAACGAAAGATAAATAGGGGACATTTATTGTAAGTTCAGGAGCAGAACTTTTTTACTGCGAAAACAAACTATACATTTAACGTATTAATTTTCTGTCTCGTCGCCCCGTCACAGAGCATGAGTACACAACGCGGGAACGCAAGTCGCACACGTGCCCAAAAACACAAAAATCGTCATGTATTCAAAAACGACCTGCACGACAAGACGCCACAGCAGACTCGACTGAATAAAATGCACGTATCGACCGTCTGTCAGCGCTGCAAGGAGGTCATCGAGTGGAAGATCAAATACAAAAAGTACAAGCCCCTGACCCAGGCAAAGACCTGTACCCGCTGCCAGCAGCGCACTGTGCGCAAGGCCTACCATGTCATCTGCCGGGACTGCGCCGTGAAGGATCATGTGTGCGCGAAGTGCCTGAAGAGCGCCGACGAGGTGGCGATCGAAGCGCCAGAGCCAACACCTCAGGAGGAACAACAGCTGCAGGTCGAAATGGACCGACTGATAAAATCTTTTCCAGAGCGCAAGCGACGTGCATTTCTCCGCTTCATGGCCAAGGGACGTAAGCAGGAGACCGAGGAGCCGGTTGACGAAGAGGAGCGGGAGGCGCAGGAGAAGGCGACGCGCGTCAGACATACGCGCGAGGAGCTGCTGGAGAAGATCAAACAGCTGAATCTCGCCGAAGAGGACGATGATTTCAATGACGATGACGATGACGATGAGGATGAAGACGAGGTTGAGGACGGGGACGGGGAAGGGGAAGGGGATGATGATTCCGATCTCGATTCAGATGAATGCGACAGTGAAGAAGGCAGCGATGGGGAGAAGCAAAAAACTAAAATAAGCGATAAGCTTGTCAATAAATAACATTCAAATGCCGAATTTATGTGAAAATTAGGTTATGAAAGCATAATTTTTTTTTTTGATAAATTAATTATAAACATGAAATTTATAACGGTGTTTTAATTATTTATCATTATTGATGTTATTTTTAATCCCTGCTAATCGCATTTATAGAGGAGCTGTCTATCTGCTTATATCTTATTTTAACTCCAAAATTATTATATTTCATAAATAAATTACATATTTAATTGCAAACCGTTCAGCTGTTGTTGTCGGGCAAAATGAAAGCTTTCGAAAAGCTTTGCAGCTTTTCATTTTAACTATTTGCGAAATCCAATGCAAACACGCTGCGAAGCAACAATCGATTGAATCTAATCGCTTGCATCCGCCTAAAGGCTAGTTGCTATGTCACTCCGGTTGCCAGACAGCCGGCAGCAAGTATTGTATTTTAGTTGCCAGTCGAAGCGATTTGCTTCGTTCGTGTTTTCTTGCTTTTCACAAAGCGACATTCAAGTTAGTTTGAAAGGTATTGAAATTGTTGCAGGATGACTAACCGAAAGGCGAAAAGCGCCAGAAACCGTCGCAAGAATAAGAATATTGCAGGTGAGGAGGCTGGAGCCGTGCAACCCACACAACAACCGAAATCGAAAAAGTCAAAATCAAGTAGAAAATCGGAAAAAGCCGAGAGAAAAATGACATTCGGGGAGCAACAAATGCTGCAGCAAACTGTGCTCAATTTTATAAGAAGCGACGAACTGTCGCAGGAGATAGTTGGCTTAAGCAATCAGGAGCGCAGAGAGATTCACCTGTTCGCCCGACAGCACGGCCTAAAAACGCGCAGTCGCAGCAGCAACGGCGACCGGGTGCTGACCCTAACTCGCGGTGCTACCACCAGGGTGGACATACGTCTGGATGAGGTCAAGCTGGCCGTGTCGCTGCAATTTGGCAGCGTCTTGGACACGGCCCTCAAGGACTTGAGCCGCAGACGGTCGCAGCCCCTTCAACCGCAGCGTCGCGAACCAAGTATCCAAAACGGCGGCCTAGTTGGCATTCCACGTGTGCCGCCGATCCCTCACAACATCTGCGGGGAGCTGGATGACGAGCGCCGTAATCTTCCCATATTTACCAAGCGCGAAAAAATATACGAGCTGCTCGAAATGTCGCAGGTAAGTCGCATTTTCCATAGGATCCAAGGATCCAGCAATGCAATGCAATGTTCAATTGGCTTCTCTTCTGTAGGTTCTGATTGTGAACGGTGCCACGGGCTCTGGCAAGTCCACCCAATTGCCGCAGTATTTGATGGAGAAGGCAGCCGAATCGAATCAGTCTGTACGCATTGTGGTTAGCCAACCGCGGCGCATTGCCGCCATTAACGTGTCCGGGCGCATTGCCGAGGAGCGCGGTGAGGTGATTGGCGACACCGTCGGCTATATTATACGTATGGAGAGTAAGTATTCCAATCGCAATGTTTCCCAATATTCCTAATCCCAATACTTCACGGCAGGCAAGTGCAGCAGTAGCACGGTGCTGGCATTGACCACAAGTGGCTGCCTGCTGCGCACGCTGGCCATGAAAAGCGCGGAGTTCTTTAATAACACCACGCATATAGTCATTGATGAGGTGCACGACCGCGATCTCGATACGGACTTTCTTTTGCTGGCCATTAAGCTAGAGCTGGAGCGCAACAAGTCGCTCAAGGTTATACTAATGTCGGCCACAATGGATCTATTGGCGTTGTCCAAATACTTTGGTAATGCTCCCATCCTGGATGTGGAGGGACGTAGCTTCAATGTGCGCATCTTTTCGCTGGAGAACATACTGCACATGACCGGCTATATGACGCCGCAGATGGCACGTGTGCTGGGCAACAAAACCGACGCTGACGAAGATGAGCTCGTGGAGGCCTATGCACTTGCACATAATATACACGAGCAGGAGATAGACAATTCGCTGATTGTGTCCCTGCTGCAGGTGGTGCTGTTGATGGGCATGAAGGGCGCCGTGATTGTCTATCTGCCCGGCTATCAGGATATGACAAAATTGATGGATCAGCTGGTTGACAGTCTGCCAGTGGATTTGATCAAGATAATGTTGCTGCACAGCCAGGTCGATACCGCGAGGCAGAAGGATGTCTTTCGCGAATATCCAAATGTGCAGCTCAAGATTGTGCTGAGCACAAACATTGGCCAGACTTCGATCACCATTCCCGATTTGCTCTATGTAATCGATACGGGCCGTGTCAAAATGAAGACCTATGATCCGGCGACCGGCGCCTCGCATCTGGACTGCACTTGGATATCCCAGGCGGATGCTCAGCAGCGCACTGGGCGTGCCGGTCGTCGTAATGATGGCATCTGCTATCGCCTCTTTAGCAGCAATCAGTATCACAGCTTCAGTCGCTTTACGGTGCCGGAGATATTGCGCCATACACTCGATGAGGTCTGCCTGTTGGCCAAGATAGCCGCCCCAAACAAGGCGATCGAACATTTCTTGTCGCAGGCCTTGGATCGCCCGCAGCCTGTCGCCATTGCCCAAGCTTGCGCCAAGCTAAAGCTGCTGGACGTGCTTCATGACGACGAGAGCGTCACCCCGCTGGGCCACATCATAGCCGAACTGCCGCTGGATGTGCAGCTGGGCAAGTGTCTGGTTTACGGCATCTATTACCAATGCGTGGGCAGCATGAGCATCATAACCGCCTACTACTCGGTGCGCGATCCGTTTGTCCTGCCCACCGATCGTTACGCACGCAGCGAACAGCGCAAGGCCCGTGATTTCTTTAGCATCAATGCGTGCAGCGATTCGATTGGCATACTCCAGCTGTACCATGAGTACTTGTACGCCGACAACAGGGGCAGCCGCGAAGTGGACAAGTTCTGCGAGAAGCACTTTTTGTGCCGCAAGTCGATGGATCTGTTTGTATCGGCGGTGCAAACGCTGCGTCTCACCCTGATGCGCATGTTCAAATTTGCGGACATGAGGACGGCCACCAAATATGACCACAACTTGAATATGGTGCGAATGGCCCTGACAGCCGGGCTCTATCCACGAATTGTTTACGTCGATCGTACAAAGAATTCGCGCCTCATAGCCGACTGCGATCCGCGTGTCCAACTCTCGAGGAACTCCTGTTTATCCTTGTGCTTTGCCAAAAGGATGAAGGGCACTCAGAGCGAATGGCTCCTATACGTGGAGAAGACCCGCACAGCTGCCCTCATCTCGCACATTGAGCATACTACACTAGTCAGCACTTTGATGGTGGCCCTCCAGTGCGGCAAGGTGGCCAAATTGGAGCCATTTTTACTGGACATACTCGAGCCTTTAGATGAGTACGATCCTGTTAAACATACTGTTCTGCGCCTGGACACCTGGCTGCGCATTCAGCTCTCCACAGAATTGGGCGAAAAACTGCTCAAGCTGCGCTCCAATATTGCCAAAGAGTTCAACGAGCTGGTTGCCAATCGCACTGTGGTATCGGCTCGTTGTCCATCCGTTGAATATGTCCAAAGACTATTGGATCTCGATACAGACCAATCGGGTCTATCGGCTTCAGATGTTGTATTTTTCTAGATGTCGTACGAACTTTGCTAGGATCTTAGACCAGCTTGCATATATATTTATTTAAATATTTTATTTATTTATTTTCTATCTGAGCATAGGTTATCAGCTAACCTATCTGAGTATAGAGACAGACAAGAATATCTAGTTTACAGGGGGTTTTTTTCGCATCGACCTTTTGGATCTATGTATTACTAAATGTACAAATTTAAATCATACTGTGAAATTATAACTCAATACCAATCTATTGTACACACAATTAAAACATAAGAACGCGCTAAAGCCCTTACTCATACTATGGTTTTTATAAGATCTGAATCTGAGTCTCTATTTGACTATGAATCTATGAGATTAATACCTGAAATGGTTCTAAAATTAATTTGTTTACTCATATTCCAAATTGAATACATAATTGACCCAGAATCTATGAGATTGATACCTGAAATGATTTTAAAATCAATTTGTCTATGGATTCCCCCAAATTAAATATATAAATGCATGTTGACTTAGGAGAGAACTTTGATTTATGATATCAGATAAACTTTTATTCTTTAACTAAGCAGGTCACGTCTCAGCATTCCAACTTTAAAATATCAAAATCAAGTGTACGATTTTTAATATATTACAATTTATAAATGATATATGTGTACTATCGGGCACCTTTTATTAGAATATATAGATGTTTTTCATTCCCTAACATAATCAGATAAAAACGATAAAAAACTATTTTGGCAAGAGAAAATTGTAAAATGCTAGTCGCATTCGCAGGTTATCAAAGGACGGTCGTCGCAAACACTTTCAATTGATGTCTATGTATACAAAATGGTCTTCTAGACATTTTATTATAATACAGTATTAGCATACAGTGAACACGTACTTAACCGAATCGGGCATACATATCCGTATTTTGAATTTAACAAAACGTTAATTGAAATTATATAATATATACTCAAATATGTAGTTGCATGAAATTTCTCATTAGAGGCTCTTAACTAAGATACTATTTCAACCAAAATTCATTATAAATATTTAAAAATGATGAAACACTAAATAAAGTTATTTGAATGTAATTTATCGGATCGATTGCAAATTGTAGGAAATATGATGAAACCAGGCCTTTATAAATGTGTATACTGGCTGGTATTTTTGGTTTTGCAGCTTCCCTCGGTTCAAGTCTTAGGCACAACATTTTAGACATTCCCAGCCAATTTCCCGACCGTGAAAATTCCGAAAGCTGTGAAACACGTATCAAATTAAATTTCAGAAATGAACCAAAGTTTTAAGCTAATCGAAATGTAAACCAAATAGTTATTCAGTCCGATTTCTGCCAATAGTCCACGGGGTGGAATTTACAAAATCGCTGAAACCAGAATTCATCAGGTACTTGTGAAGAGCTTTAAAAAGGTTTGAATTTAAACGAAATATAAAAAATCATTCGACTGAACAAAGATATTTAAGAATAAGCTTAAGGCATAGCGGATGGTACACAACAAAAGTTGGATACAGACTCTTTCCGCGATAGTTCCACGCTTTCGGGTGGAATTACCCTAAGCCCCGGCTGAGCTGGCACCTTTATCACATAGGCTAACAACAGTAAAAATGAGTCAAGACAAACGGTTGTACAGAGATATAGTAAATGGTGGTTGTCAAGTGCTTCAGTGCAACATTTTGTCAATATTTTAGCTGCCGCCTGGTGGGGCTCACGGGGCTCGCCTTCAATTATGCCAGCACTTTAATTGCTGGGTGAAAATATGTGTGCCACAAGTGCATGGAATGCAGAGTTGCTGCCGAGTCGGAGTCGGAGTCGGTGTCAGTGTCAACCCTGCAGCTAGCTGGCACTGTGTGGACGGCTCCTTCATTTGCCATTGTGCCAATGCTGGGCGGCTTTCTTGGCACTGGGTGCCAGGCCCAGCTCCCTGGGCCAAGTGCGGCCCATTGAGGCGCAAAAGACAGCAACAAAGACGACGGCAACAAGAGCTCGTAATTGCACAGACAGCCATGTTGCCGCATGTGCGCAGTCAATAAACCTGCGCAGTCTCCCCCAAGTCTCCCTCCCCCTCCAGTCACCCCTCTCTAACAATGGCAAGACAGCCAATTTTGTGTGTTGAAAAAAAAAAAAGACAACGTGCCACAAGCAACAGGCAGCAGCAACAAATGCAGCAAAGAAAGTGAAATTAATTTGTAACTTGTCTCTGCTGTCTGTCTTTTAGTTGTTGCTCTTGTTGTTGTTGTTTTTCTTAGCTACCTTTCAATTATGCGCAAAGCAACTGCCAGCCAAGTTTTCAAGTGGCCACAAGTATTGCTCTAGAAATGATATGCTGATATGGCTGATTGCCATTGTTTATTAGTTACATTATTAGTTCCATTCGTTTATCTGTCAACTATTTGGTCTCGGTTCGCCTCGGTCGTAGCAGTTTTGCAGTTTATTCAGGAACTCGACGCGCTTCACTTGCATCAGAATTCTATCGATTTTCCAATCAAAGTGGTTCAAGCCCAAACTCGTATAAATTGTGAATACATGTTTTCAGACGAAACCGTTCAAAGGCGCAATTTTTGCTCTGAACCAAACCTTCAGCTTCAACCAGTTGCCCATAGCGAACATAATTGCAATTAATTGCATGGTCCAAAAATTATTTTAAAAGTGTTAACTAATATAAAGAACCTGCCGCATAAACCGGATCTGAAGTCGTCGTGGTTTGAGCAAAAAAAACAAATAATACATTGTTTTTGTTTCGACTATTTTGATGATTAAGAGCCATGCTCTTTTGTTAGCTACTGGGACAGCTATAAAAGTAAATACTTTGGTTTAAATCTAATTCTCAAGTCGTTATTGCTTCATGCTGGCAAGGCTTGTTGATGATAGAACCGGGAGGTTTTTGACATAGTTATATAGACAACCTAGCTCTTGGTGCTTATACCTAATATTAAGAATAATAATATATATTTCTAAAATCAAGTTAAACTTAATATGCATCAGTTTTCAATCGCATTCAAATAGATTGCCTGCCTATTTACGAATCGGATCTATATGTTTTGCATATAAGAGCATCGCCCAATAAATTTCAACCACAAGTGAAGCATTCTGTAATTGCTTTGAATATTAAATTGGGCGAAAACCTGTTCAGCGCGAGGGCCTTGGCTGGCGCATTGACCATGTGTCCATGGCCGGAACCGCTGCTGACCCACAACTGCAAAATGTGGCAAGTGGCAAGAGGCAAGTGGCCCGCAGCCAGCAGCCAGCCACCCGCCGAACAGGTGCAAGTCCGAGCCGGCCTCAAAGTGGATGCAGTGGACGCAGTGGACGCAAGTGCATTCAACCTGTTGCCAGTTGCCAGTTGCCAGTTGGCCGCCACTTCCACTTGTTGGCCAAGTTTATTGTCCAGTCATTAACGCGCGGCTGCATTAGGCTCTTGCATTTCAATTTAATTTGAGTGCTTGAATGGGCTTGAATGGAATGCATTCGCTCAGCTGCCAATTGGCATTGATTTTGAACCCGCGTCTCGGTTCAATTGCCCACAATTGACAATGGGGCACTCCGCGGAGCAAATTGATTCATCATAGCCCCAAGAGTGGCTGGATGACCAGCCTCCGGGCCGGGCCAGGCCAGCCTGCCATGGCTTCCATTGTATCCAATGGCTCATTGCCTATTGGCTTTGTGGTTTTGTGGTTATCCAGCTGGCCGTTAGATGTGCCCAAAATGCTGTACAGATAACCTAACTGTCTGCGCATATGCCTTCGATTTGCGCAATTCCCCAATGATTAGTCGCATCTTATTGGCCATGAATCGAATGTTTTGGCTGAGATTCCACAACTCTGCATATCATCATTACTTATTTGCATGGATTTCAAGTCGAGACTGCTCCGATCAATATTTTTTATAGGGAATATCCATTAGATATATATAGATTAATTGAGCATTATTTTATGTTTTATATCTAAGCAGTATATACCTTTAATCTAATCTGATATAATTTAAGTCCAAATTTCTTCAATCTTCAATCATCTTTAATTTTAAGTTCTTTTAATTTATATATTAATCAAATCTGATTTATATTAAGTATTGTATATGGCTGTAATTCAAAAATAGAAATATATAAAAAAAACTCCCAACTTGTGTAGTTATTATCAAATGATACATTATATAAATTAACATATGTAGAAGCGTGTAGTATATCGCTTTGCCAAGTCGATGCCATGATTTCTTCTTAAAATTTTACATACATCCCTTTCCCACCTTGAGCTCCCATTTCCACTCTGACGCATTGCCGAATTTCCCACAATTTTTCGCACAGCTTGTTATGGCCTTTTCGTATAGTGTGAAACACGTCTCAAATGAATTTCCATAAAGATCTTTGAATATAGATTTGAGCCTGAACGGATAACAAACCAAATAGTGTCACATTTTCAGCAATTTTTCACCATTGCGGGTGGAATTATTCAATGCTCCGTGCTAGATTTAAATGCGGTAATGGATCATCCTCTATATGAAAATACAAAAACTTAGAACTTCATTTTTTGCTTCGCTTATCTTCTTCTGTTTCCAAGTGCAGCAAGTGTATATTGGTTGTGTATTTTAGCTGGTTACTCCAAATTTGCCATACAACATATGTTCTTTGAATACTCTCATCTAATCCAGCTTCATGTTTTGTTTCAGAGTCTTCAACGATCTCGAGCTTGATACCCCAATCGGGCTATATATACTGCTGAGTTTCTTTGATGACACAAGACTGCAATTACACTGGGAATAGAGGATCTATTTATATAACAATAAAAAAAAAGAGAGTATCTGGCGATTGGGAGCTGCTGTTTGCTTCCATTTTGATTGGGTTAAAATATTATTATGAACTTAAACTGGGGATACCCTTAAAAGGTTTTTGGTTCTCTATTATTTAAGACGGGGGTTGAGGAATATGTGCCTCTTGCTGTATGTGACAGGTGTGTGCGTGTGCGTGTGTGTGTTAATGAAGCAACTGGCTGCGACTTGACGAAAAAGCTGATTGATAGCCGTGTTGCCTGTGAAGCTTAGAGCAACAGTTACAGTTACATAATTACACAAATTGATTTCACAGAGGCCCGCGGTGCTCAGCTGCTCCCAAATGCCAACGCGAATGATGACATCAGCAGCAGTATCTGCCACAGCAGCATCAGCAGCAGCATCTGCCACAACGGCAACGGGCACGACATCACGAAATGCGTTTTGGTAATTCCAAATTGGGAATAATCATAATACATAAGCCTATGCTTCGGTATGTGCAGCAGACAACAATCGTTAAAGAAGGGCGTGAAGGGGAACGATGGAGGTGGGTAGGGTGGGAGGGGGGGGGGGGGTTGGGCTACCCTGTCACGCCAGCAAAACACGAGCCACCTGCCTGCCTGCGGTTGCATTTAAGAGCGCAGCGTACGAAGCGCCAGTGAAAGTCTCAGCCGGGTCAAATCAATCAGCCTGGGCGGCGACCTGGCCAAAATGCCAAATGTGCCTTTTCGTTTCATCCCAGCCAATATACCCCTTCGGCCAGCCCTCCCCCTTACATATTTGACTTAGCTTTGCTTTGCTTTGCTTTGTTGTGGCTGCCAAACTGGCAGCTAATTAATTTTTTACATTTTTCTTCTCAGTTTTCAGGCCCCTGCTCTACCCCCTGGCATAACACCTTTCGCAGCGCCTCGACTGCCTT